GTAAGCTGTCTCGTACCTTACACAACAGTTCCCTAAAAAGACAGTTCCTCCAGCTCGGCCTTGGCACCCGTCTTCCAGGCGGGTGAAGCCTCTTCTGAAACAGTCACTGCAGTCGCCGCTAGGCGTGCCGTCGCAATTAAAATAGGCTTGCACTACGAGCCGGCTACCATCGTCGGCCACAAAACCCCTCGTGAAGCAACCCGTGATGTTGCCGGCTTGAAAGTCAGTTGCCGAAAAGCCATCGAATATGGAACTTTGACGCTCAGCTGACGGCGCAGGGAACGAATCCAGGCTGCACCACCCTGTGCTGTCACTTCCTTCGCATAGTTGAGCATCATAGCAGCTGATCATCACCGGCAGCGAACAAAATATGGTGCAAATTGCTAGCAGAAGGGTAGTAACCGTTACTACTGCTGACATCCTCGCCATTGATTCTTCAGTACTCCCACGTACACTTGTCTTTTTTGTTTTTTTTTTGTTTTTTGTTGGGATGGAAGTGTTTGATGGATGGGTTGTGGGATCTTGTTGATCTCGTTATATAATCGACTTCAGCGGCTCGAGATTCACGATATCGAGAGGCTACAGGGTTGGTTTCGCATTGTTTAAGACCGAACGAGAAGAGAGTGGAAGAATCAGTCTGCTCAAGAAGTTGGCGCGGAGATGAATGTAGAGAAGGCGGTTCAGACAATGATGCATAGATGATGAATTATTACCATATTGACAATAACACCAAAAAGTTGGCTGAAAACCCTAGACCTAATTGTTTGGTTTCAGTCTATCTATTAGTTTAAATATGCATAGAGTTGGTTTCATCTCACTCTTAGTTTAATTTGATTTCATCTTGTTCGTCTCTTAGTTTGAATAGGCAAGAATTTTGGCCACTACATGACAAGGTATGTTAGCCTGCATTAAAAATTGATATTTTTCTCTGATATGGTGGGCACAGATTGTGGACACCGAGTTTGGAGACTGAGTGAGCTGAATGGTGTTGGAGGTAGAGGCTTGGTAAAGAATTTTGCTAGGTTATTCTTACACGGTGGAGATTTATTTCAGATGGTGTCCAATTCGCGTTGGTCTCTCTTCTCCTTCATTTGTTCGCTTACTTCTCTTAGTGTCAATCGTAACAAACAAGTCGAGAATCACGAGAGCCTGTACAGATCGAGCTTGGCCCGCACAGGCAAGTTGGATTCGCTGGCGCTGTTTTGTTCGAAGGAGAGTACTTGAGAGAATCAGTCTACCGAGGAACGGGGCATGCAGATGAATACAAAGAAGGCGGTTCAGCCAATGATGCATAAAGAAAGTTGATATGATGTGAACACTTCACTACAACATCGGTTTGTCCGGTTCTTTCAATTAGAATATATCCTGAGGGATAAGGGAAAACATTTTACCAATGACGTTCTAGCCAACCGCGCTTCTTAAAGTAATCTCTTGATGATATTATTTCGGGCTGCTCAAGACTTCTAACTTCGGTAGCTAAAGACTAAGTTCAGTTGCTACATCGATATTTTGTTGTGAGCATGAGAGACTTATCAAATTTTTTTTCCACCAATTAACAGAACTTATACAAGAAATATAAAGTTTAGCTCCGCAACATAAATTTTGCCGGACGAACTTTAAAAGTGAAGTTTATGGCTAAACCTTCTGTTTTTGTGGCTAAAACTTGTAGTCACTCACTGCATAAAATTTTTAATATGCAACTCAAAATGTTTGTGAACAAATTCAGTAATAAGGTATTTTGTATAGGAGTTTTACATCGTCTCGACTCGATCGTCGGATCTTGCATGCCATTGAATACTACATAAACCATTCGTTAAGAAAAGAAAGAACCCTTTATTCATCGAGTACGCAACATACTTTCAACACATTGAGCACTCTACTCGATTGGATCGTAGCACAAAAGACTCTTATAACACTACAGGAAACTTCACTTTTTTTTTAGCGACAAACTAATTCGTCGCAGAAAGACTGAAATCCGTCACAAAAAAACGCTTTTCGCGACGAAAATTGGTGCAGGATGAGCAAACCAAACCTAACTAGCTAGCTAGGTGCAGAAGTCGTAAGCCGTCTCATACCTCACACAACATTTGTCCAACAAGACAGTTCCTCCGGCTCGGCCTTCGCACCCATCTTGCAGGCGGGCAAAGCCCTTTTGTTAACAGTCGCGGCACTCGTCGCTAGGCGCGTCGTCGCAATTGAAATTGGCGTACGCGTGGTACTTAGTAACATCTACACCATAGAAATCTCTAACGTAGCAACCCGTAATGTTGCCGTCTCGAAATTGATTTTCCCTGAAATCGCCGAATATGGAAGCTTGAAGGACGGCGGACGGCTCGGGGAGCGGATCTGGGCTGCACCTCCCCGTGCTGTCACCTCCTGCGCATAATGGATCATCAATGCAGCTTATAACCTGCAGGAGGCAGAAAAACATGGTACAAATTGCTAGCAGAAGGGTTGTCTCCATCTTCTCTTTTGCTTTTCTTTTTGTTGGGATGGAGGTGTTTCATGGATGGATGGATTATGCGTTAAGGGATCAGCTTGTTTATTGCCTTTTATATATATACATATATATATAAACTTTCATCATTGTTACAAGAACCGAACCGAATCAACGAGTTGGCCAGTAGAACCACAAAACCAGTTACGATAACGGCCTGATTCATTGCTTGGACGGTAATTGATGGACCAAACGGTTTTTCACGGTTCGACATAAAACTAGATAAACCACCACGATTTAACTGGTACACTATTTTAACCATAAAATTTTTTAAAATTACTTTAATTAACATAAACTAAGACCATCAAAACATAATTATTAATTTTATATCTGCTTCCTCTTCTCATTTTTCAACCTTGTTATCGACCTTACGTGGTCCACTACCGATGGCAACGTAATTTTTAACTTGGATTAAAAAAATTATGATTTTCTTTGTAAGATGCCTAATAATTTATTAGATATTTTGGTAATGATATGAATTCGAAATTATTTATGATAAATGATAACTTCATTTTTAAAATTAGTGTAATATACAAGTCTGTCTTGTATGTTATATATAGTAAACATTTCTATCAACGGTTAACCAATAATTTTGTAACGGTTAATCACTAAACCGTGAAACACTAACTTTTCCGATTCAGCCTCCGCTGCGGTTCGGAAAACAGAGACTTTGATCAGTAGGTCGAGAATCACGAGAGCCTGTACAGAGCTTGGCCCGCACAGGCAAGTCGGATTCGCTCGCGTTGTTTTGTTCACGAAGGGAGAGTGAAGGAATCAGTCTACCGAGGAACCGGGCGTGCAGATGAATGCAAAGCTATATATATATATATAGGCGGTTCAGACAATGATGATAGATACAGCAAGCTAGCCAGCCGGGTACGTTCTTTGAGTTCCATATCCATGTAACCGTCCATATGCATGGGACAGTGAAGGAAACAAAACAACATGGACTTTAGGACTTACGTAGCTGGCCAGGCTCTGAGCTTTGAAGGAATCGAAAATGGGTCATATTGCTAAGTTCTGATGGGTTATGTCCCCTCAGAACTTTAGCCATATTACTCTACTTACCCTCGTTCCATAGGTGAAGGCCGCGCTAGTGATGACAATTTCAACACGTCATTTCCGATATTATCCGATTCAAATCGCGAGTTGGGCGGAGGGTAATACCCGTGATTCATAGAGCGTGAGACAGGACATGGTTATTACTACTTTCACCCTGCCTGCACGCCTTCTTTCTGATTTCTTATATAACTCGATTTGTCTTAGTATATGTTTTTATTTATCCTATATTTTGACTTATATTGACTCATCTTTCAACCTATGAATGCGAGACTTTATCTTTCAACTAATTCTACTAATTGTATTCAACTAATTGTTTTATCATTTTCAAATAATATACAAGCATATGGATCGATCCGCCACAACATGTTCTCATACGCAGCTAGTGATGCAAATGGGGGTGCGGGGGAGGGTACCTCAATACCCCATACTTGCTACACAATCTTACATGTTATTTGAGAAAAATACGCGCAAAATTTTACTTTTCACGATAAAACGAATGGAAACACTTTTTTTTTTATAAAAATAGTGATAACAAAATGGATATTTGAGTCTAACTATTTGAAAGATCCGTAGTTAAAGAAAAGTCATTATTATTATTATTATTATTATTATTATATAATTAAAAACATAAGCACTTTTCACTGTTCATTAAGGTTAGTCAAAATTGTAGTCATCATGTATAAACTTTTTAATATTCAACTCAACTCAATGTCCGTGAACAAAGTTAATGATAAAATATTTTGTACTAAAATTGTGGTTCAATTGTTTTGTGCCGTTAAAATCACCTATCATTTATATATGGTCTTGTATCCAATATTTCCGATCGGATCGACCGATATGATAGGGTTGATTCAACTACAATTTTAAATATGGCAGGCTGGCAGCAGCATTAATTCTAGTATGTTTAATTTTGTTGGTGGACCAAAATCTCTCATCACTCATGATCAGATGCAAACCCCTTCTTCAAAATGCAGCCATGCTTGTCTCCAGTATTTCCCGGTCATTATTTAACTTTCCAAAATTGTATCAACACGAGACCGTCGGATCTTGGCAGTCATTTTATACTACAGTAACGAAAAGAAGAAAAACAAAAACCCTTTTATTCATCGAGTAAGTACGTTACTGTACATAACCTTCAACACATTGAGTACTCTACTCGCGGGAGTATAGTACAAAAAGCACGCAGCAACGCGTATGCGACTGAATTCCCATCACCATATAACCATAGTCTATAGAATCGATGTTCAATTATTTTAATTTAATTATTGTAGGATAGTTGGTTGATGGATGCTCATAATTGTAGGGTAGCACGTGAATTGGCGGATTATTTCATCAAGTCTATAGGATCGATGTTCGAACCCACCATCATCGTATCTAATTAGCGACTAGCTAGGTGCGCAGAAGTCGTAATAAGCTGACTCATACCTCACACAGCATTTCTCTAACAAGACAGTTCCTCCAGCTCGGCCTTGACACCCTTGTTCCAGGCGGGCGAAGCCTCGTCCAAAACAGTCACGGCAGTCGTCGCTAGGCGCGTCGTCGCAACTAAAATAGGCTGCCGCTGTGACCTGACTACCATCTGCGTACGCAAAATCCTTCTTGTAGCAACCCGTGATGTTGCCGGCTTGAAATACATTTCCCGAAAAGCCATGGAATATGGAACCTTGACGGTCAGCTGACGGCGCAGGGAGCGGATCCAGGCTGCACCTCCCTGTGCTGTCACTTCCATGGCATGGCTGATCATTGAAGCAGCTCACCGCCGGCAGGGAACAAACCATGGTGCAAATTATTGCTAGCACAAGGGTAGTAGTAACCGTGGTTACTGCTTCTGCTGACATCCTCTTCGCCATTAATTCTTCACTACTCCCCCACTCCTGATCACTTTTGCTCTTCTTTTTTTGTTGGGGTGGAGGTGCATGTTTGATGGATGGATCGCCTTATATACTCGACTTCGGCAGCTCGAGAATCACGAGAGAGGCTAACAGAGTTTGGCACGCACCAGGCAGTTGGATTCGCATTGTTTTGTTCGACGATGAAGACATAATCGAGAAGAGAGTGAAGGAATCAGTCTGCTCAGGAACGGGGCGTGCAGATGAATACAAAGAAGGCGGTTCAGCCAATATAATGATGCAACAGTTGAGGTGGTGTAAACACTGAAGACTGAACTAGTACTACAACAATTTTTGTCCAGTCTGGCGGCCGGTAGGGCTGGCTATTTGGTCCGGGTTTTTTGGTTTTACCCGAAACCGGACCGTATAACCCGGATCGAGACTGGACCGGGACCGGATAGTAAACAATCCAATCCAATTTTTGTGCTTAGATTTGAGGTAAAAAACCGTTCGGGACCGAATAAAAAACTGGATAAAGACCGGATAAAAGAGCTCAACACCCAAAACTTAAGGGTAATTAGCATAAACGGTCACAAACCTTTGCAGTTAGTACAAAACTTAACAAACTCCTCACCCTTTTAGGCCTTAGGCCACTCAAATTTCCACAAACTCAATATAAAATCAAGACCGAATTGGGACCGGACCGGGTCAAGACCAGACCGGATCAAAACCGGACTGTATCCAATCCAATATTTGGTCCTTATATTTTCGAAAAGACCGGACTGGACCGAATCAATTTGGGCAAATTTAACCGGACCGGACCGTATAACCACCCCTACTGGCCGGGCTATCTTTAAGCATGAATATGGTTCTTATGACCGGGACTGGAAGGGGTAAACGGATTGTCGACCAATATGTCCCATTTTGCTAGCCGGCGACAACAGGTACTTATACGTACTATAGCTGGCCTGCAGGCTCTTAAGCTTTAATATCAGGAATATACGAACTGTAATTTACCACATTAATCATCGTGTGTATGATCATCAGACATCAGTTACCATTCCTATATCAGGGTGATACATTTTGGTGCTGTATTTTTTCTCCATAAATTTGTAGATTGAATAAATAACGATGAACACGTTCCATCTGTGCAATTTTTTCCCCCCAAAATTCGTGTTAAAAACGAAGGCGGTAACGAATGGTATGAAATTTTGTTTGTCAATCGCAATATGTTGAAAATGAATCCCATTTGCAGGATCACAACAAACTCGTTCCATCTAATTTGTATAAAATTTTGAACTCCAGAAGAGGTAAGAGTCGATTAGGAAAACCAGGAAAAATAAAAAAAAAATCCTTAATTCTCACTCGTTATATCTGGATCCTTCTGGTTCCACTCAAAATTAATAGCTCAGATTTGGTCATGTAAGAGTGCATGATCAAGGGTTATGCAGCCAATAAGATAGCGAAAGTTCGGCATAACAAAAGCGTAATGATGGTATGGGTGTTTCATCGAGCAAAGAAACCCCCCTTTATTCATCGAGCAGGTACACAACCTTGAACACATTGAGTACTCTACTCGATCGGCGTACGTACGTAGTAAACAAAAGCAGAAACCATGCAAATCCAACAAACCTAGCTAGCTAGCTAGCTAGGTGCAGATGTTGTAAGCTGTCTCGTACCTAAAACAACAGTAGTTCTCAAACAAGACGCTCCCTCCGGCTCGGCCACGGCACCCTTGTTCCATGCGGGTGATGCCAGAATTGAAACACAGACGGCACACTATACCGGGCGTGACGTCGCAGGTAAAAGAGGCGTACACCGTGTACAGGTTATGATCCTCATCAACGTAGTCTCTCGTGTAGCAACCGACTCTTTTGCCTCCGTGGAATTGTTTGCTCCAAAAACCATCGAAGATGTCTTCCAGCTGAAAGTTACCCGCCGGCAAAGGATATGCGCTGCACCTCCCTTTCTCGTCACTTCCTGCGCACAACGTTGCATTGAAGCAGCTTACCATGCAGCACATGGTGCAAATCGCTAGCAGGGTTATTACCATCATCGCTGCGACTAACATCCTCGCCATTTGAACATAACGTATTTACGATGTGCTTGTTGTATATATAGTAACACGAGGGGGCCTATATGTACAGAGCTTGGCCTGCAGAGGCAATTGTTGGGTTCGATTTATTTTGTTCGACGATTACGACAGAACGAAAAGAGAGTGGAAGAATCGGTCTGCCGAGGAAACTGGCATGCAGATGAAGATAGAGAAGGCGGTTCAGACAATGATGCATATATAGATGATGAATCATTACCATATTGACAATAACACCAAAAAGTTGGCTGAGAACCCTAGACTTAAATTTTGGTTTCAATCTATCTACTAGTTTGATTTTTTTTTTTTTCCTTATTCGTCTCTTAGTTTAAATATGGATAGAGTTGGTTTCATCTCGTTTACTCTGAGTTTAATTTGATTTCATGTTGTTCGTCTCTTAGTTTAAATAGGCAAGAATCATTTTGGCTACTACATGACAAGGTTCGTCTCTTAGTTTAAATAGGCAAGAATCATTTAGGCAAGAATCATTTTGATATTTTTCTATCATATGATGGACACAGATTGTGGACATTGAGATTGGTGTTGGTGGCAGAGGCTTAGTAAAGAAAATTTGGCCAAGTCTATAGTCCAGGACACTTTTAAAATTTAGGGAAAATTTTAACGACGACTCCTGGTACTTAGTTTGAGTTTGGGGTAGAAACGAATTATTGGTCTTTTAGGAGTGTCATGGGACATTCCTAAAATTTGAAGATCTCCAAGTAGTATTTTGAATTTGGAGGAAAAGAAAATTCAATAGGTGATAGTCTTTGTGGTTCAAACTCACAGCACGATAATTATTAAAGAAACAGTTATCCATTACACTACAAACCGATTGTTGTTATGTTTAAAAAAAAGTACTTATAATTCTAATCTAAAACAAAGTTGGATGAAACCCAAATTTCCAAAAATTTCATCCAAACCCTGAAAATTAAATTCTCAATTCTCCACACTTCTTATAGTGATGAATCTTGCATCATTATCAGGTTAATTGAATTGTTGTAGGCGATTCATGATATGCAACTGCAAAAGCTAAACTACCGCTTTGATGAGGTGAATACAAGATTGTTGACTTGTATGACTTGTTTTAGTTCGCAGGTTGAATGTGTTCGCAGGTTGAACGTAATGAGCAAATATAAAATTGTCGAATCTTCTCTTACAGTTGAGTGATACAACATCTTGTATTGTACAAACTAAATTTATATTTTTATGTTGTGGTGGATTGGATTCATGGATTGGTTCAAAAGGATTGGTGGATTAAATTCATGGATTCGAGTGGAATCTAAACATTGGACCAATATGCAAATTTAAAAAATTGTAGGTACGAAAATCTCATAAAATTTAGATACCAAAACATAATTGTTCAATAATTTTATATTAAAATTAAATTTGGGGTATCAAAATATAAAATTTACATTATAGTGACTAAATTGTGATTTAATTATATTGGGGTATCAAAATATAAATTGTTAGGTAACAGTAACCTAACTGCACCTTTATATATATTAACTTTCATTGCAAGGTCGAGAATCACGAGAGCCTATACAGAGCTTGGCCCGCACAGGCAAGTTGGATTGGCTCGCGTTGTTTTGTTCACGAAGGGAGAGTGAAGGAATCAGTCTACCGAGGAACCGGGCGTGCAGATGAATGCAAAGCTATATATATATATATAGGCGGTTCAGACAATGATGATAGATAGCCAGCCGTGTACGTTCTTTGAGTTCCATATCAGTATAACCGTCCATATGCATGGGACAGTGAACTGATTGGGTAACCGATCGATATTTGATTTTTGGAAACCAAACAACATGGACTTACGTAGCTGGCCAGGCTCTGAGCTTTGAAGGAATCGAAAATGGGTCATATTGCTAAGTTCTGATGGGTTATGTCCCCTCAGAACTTTAGCCATATTACTCTACTTACCCTCGTTCCATAGGTGAAGGCCGCGCTAGTGATGACAATTTCAACACGTCATTTCCGATATTATCCGATTCAAATCGCGAGTTGGGGGCGGGTAATACCCGTGATTCGTAGAGTGCGGGACAGGACATGGCCGGTTATTACTACTTTCACCCTGCCTGTACGTATGCCTTGTTTCTGATTTGTTATATAACTCGATTTGTCTTAACATATGTTTTTATTTATCCTATTTTGACATATATTGACTCATCTTTCAGCCTATGAATACGAGGCTTTTATCTTTCAACTAATTCTACTAATTGTATTCAACTAATTTTTTTACCATTAAAAAGAAATTCTTCAAATAATATATAAGCATACGGATCGATCCGCCACAACACGTACTCATACGCAGCTAGTGATGGAAATGGGGGCGCGGGGGGCGGGTACCTCAATACCCCATACTCGCTACACAATCTTACATGTTATTTGAGAAAAATATGCGCAAAATTTTACTTTTCACGATAAAACGAATGGAAAACATTTTGTGATAAAAATAGTGATAACATAATGGGTATTTGAGTCTAACTATTTGAAAGATCCGTAGTTGAAGAAAAGTCAATATTATTATTATTATTATATAATTAAAAGCATAAGCACTTTCCACTGTTCATTAAGAAAAGTCAAAATTGTAGTAATCATGTATGAACTTTTTAATATTCAACTCAATGTCTGTGAACAAAGTTAGTTGTAAAATATTTT